CAAAAGACACTTTTCAACTCGATAATTAATGTTGATACTTGAATGTATTACTTGACCTCTGCAGATAGGGACGACCTCCTATCTATCTACAAAGGACATTTGTGCTTAACCCTTTGCAAGCCACGGGCATATGCCCAGAGCCTCTATAAGTCCATAAGAATTTAATACTTGGCGTTAATATGTTGTACATCAATATCTGCTTATTGAAGGAGATACCCATGGCGTCCAAAGGGTTAAACCCACGCTATACTTTAGGATATCGAGATAGGGATGAACTCTCTACAAGGAAATCATGGGAAGGGATGAACTCTCTACATAGTGTCCCTTGTTCTGAGATTCTACAGCAATTATTATAGCACACACAATCACATGACTCCTGCAAGCCCAAATTGCAAGTGAAGGTTATTGGGCAATACACTTGAAAACAGGGCTACTCATTGCATGCAGGCAGGAGGAGCAAAGTGACTCTTGAGCTACTTCTCTGTTGGCTGAGCTATAGCTAACAGTTGGAAAATTGCCTGCACCATCAGAAAATTGTTTTAAAATGCTTAAAACCGTTGGAAGTATACATATACAGAGAAAAACTATTATTATTGCATAGCACCATTTGCCACAAAGTGATGTTTACTGTTACATCTGCTAAATGACAGTAGGCAAATTACGGTAAATTAGCTAGGGTCTTACCCACTTCCCCACAGTTGATTGCCACCCAATTATACTGGACTGGACCCAGGCATGAGAGCAAATACGTGCACCCCTCAGGACAGTCCATGATGATAGGCAAACACCTGTGACCATTATTATTGAAAAGAACTCAGTAGTGCATGTAAATTAATAATGAGCAAGGTAGTATTAACACAGCCTGCAAAACCAGATTATTACGTACTTCATCAAAAACTAAAAGCAATCTCTTGCCCATCTTTATATTCTTTGAAGGGAACTGTAGTGCAGTCGAAACACTTCGCTGAAGACCAATTTTCGACCAGTGTAGTAACTGGTGGATGGAAAAAAATTCTGTCGTGACAGAGAGTATAGTATAGGGTTGCGGAGGAGAGTATAGACTAAGTACCTATATACAGCTAAGCAAGTGGGCTCAATTGGAGCTTAGCTCTCTGGTACACCTCAACAACCTTGTAACAAACCAGCTGTTCAAGAGATATGCACAAATCATCACCTAGTCTTGCTTTTTTACTAACTATTAATGGTGTTAACCCTCATCCACACCTTTCTGCTTAAAACTAAACATCCTAGGTGGTTGGTAAAAATTTCTACCACCAACTCTTTCTTTCATCTTAGAGTGAAAAATTCACAATTAAAGCGAGCTACAGCGACACCTTCTTGGTCATTAATTGATTAGTTGCTGTCAAAGAGAGAAAAAAAGGTTATATAAGTTGTGGCAGAAACAGGGTTCACAGACTCTTCGTAGGGAATACACAGTTCTTCGAAATACTCTCGCCATATTACTGAAGTCTGCGAAGAAGCACTTCTTCAGAAATTTGAACACATCTGCTATTCTGGAAAACGGTTCATTTGATTCACCTTCTGTTTCTACCCTCATCCATGACACCGGCAAGACGGTTTCTGGTAAAGAAAAAGTCGAAGTTCTCTCTGAGGTTTTTGGGAAGTGTTTCACATCGTCAGTTTCTCCTCTTGGTTTAGCTGATCTTGACACTTTTGGTAATACTGCACAGCAGTGTCCAAATGAGCTTTTGTGTACTGTTGAACAGGTAGAACACCTTCTAGGGTCTCTTGATGTCACCAAATCACCAGGTCCAGATGGAATTTCAGCTAAGATGCTTAAATATGTTGCTCAGAGCATTGCTCCTTCAGTAACGAGACTAGTTAATCAATCAAATCTGACTGGTGTCCTGTGCTTTGTAAAGTGTCCAACATAGGTGATAATATGAACCCCTGCAATTACAGACCAATCTCTCTTCTTCCACTACTGAGCAAGGTTCTGGAGAAACATGTGGCAAATTTATTGACAGATCTGATTATGGATATATCTCTCATTTCTGAATCCCAATGGGGATTTCTATCTGGCAGATCCACAACCTTAGCTTTGCTCTCTGTCACTGAGAGTTGGTATAAATATTTAGAATCTGGTACCGAGATCTGCTCAGTCTTCCTTGACCTCCGGAAAGCGTTCCTAATCGCAACCTCCTCCTGGTTCTGAAGCAGACCCTTGTCTACCAGTATACCTCCTAGGTGTCTATATCAGCTGATCTCTCCTGGGGTGAGCACATTCATGCCCTGTGTACAAAAGTAAAAAAATGCTGGGTCTCATGTATAGAACCTTTTATGACAACGCATCTCCATCTACCCTTTTGAAACTGTATGTTTCCCTCATTCGGCCATCTTTGGAGTACGCCTGCCAGGTGTGGAACCCTTATCTTACTAAGGATATTGAGAAACTTGAGAAAGTGCAGAAATTTTCGTCTTGTTTTAAACAATAGGATGTTGATTATTAGTCTCTTGTTTTTACTTCTGACCTCTCAACACTTGCCACACGGTGGAAACACTGTTCAACATTGTCAACCAGCTGTCACAATTCTCTCAGGAAATCTTTACCTTAGAACCACTCCTTTACACTCGTCAAATCACTTATATTGTCAGCCTTTATGACTAACTCGGACCCCAAGGACCTGCTCAGACTGGAACTCACTCCCTCTTTCTATCAGATCATCTGATTGCATCTCCTCCTTCAAGTCTTCTTTGAGAGATTGGTTGAATATGATACAGTCATGCACGGCCACGTACTAGCTTATTGCTATTTTTGTCATCGCAATATCATATTATAGAGAAAAAAAGGAAAAAAGAAGAAAAAAGTACACATGTTAACCACATCTTTACATGAGCTTAAACTGGTTGCAAAACATTATAACTACTGCTGAGACTAGTCTTGAAGTTACAAAACACCAGCTATACCAATTCATTCACACAGTGTTGTTCCTGGTAATACTCCCATAAAAACACAGCGATTTCAGTCTACGAGAAAACGGAAGAAGCTAATCAAATTGCGCTTGGCAAAACCTACCCGTGAGGAGAAACAGGGAGTGTTTAGAACAAAACAGACCACAGCAGAAATGGGAGTTTATAAACGTTGTTACCACAGTCGGCGGGGCGGGGCGGGGCGGCAGGACTGTGGGCATGCGCAGTGAGGATTACTGTCAGCAGCGCAGCGTGTGGCCACGCACGGTGGATCTGGTAGAGCCAATCTCATCCAGGCCAATCCGGCGATGTCCGAAGAGGGAAGGAGCGTTGACCCGTCTGGGGTGGGCAAGGAGCTCATGAAGGAAGTGCGTGGCTAGTTGCGGCGGGGGATCAGCAAAATGCAGAAGAGACAGAGGTGAGTAAAATGGACGTTCCATCTACTGTACAACGAGTATCCTGTAGTGTATTTTTTGTGTGCAAAACCTCTCAGTGATGCACATGGTACTGTATGTTCAGGAGGTGGAGAAACAGTACAAGCAGCATGTGGCAGAGGGAGGGGCCAGTGATGAGCTCAGGTTCTCATATGCACTCATCAAGAGTGACTTGAAGAATGACATCAGGATGGGCATCAGACTCATGGAGAGTGAGTTAAGACGTCTGACGATGTCAAATAGCCTACTAGTGTTCAGATGCACATTGATACAGTAAGGGTGGCAGACCAAAGTGTAAACATGTGGTGGTTATTGCATTTACCATCGACATACGTAGAACCTCTGTATAGCGAACACGCCTATACCATGAAATTGTCCTTTCTACTTGTGTCCTCTTTGTACACAACAGTACATGGCAAAAAAACGTTCCAACTACGCCGCCGTAGTACGGTGACACCGTAGCAAATGTTCGACGGTGAATCTACGGTAGACAGAAGAGCACCGTAGCCGCGAAACGTGTAGCCCACCATAGTAAAGTAAACGGTTGCAGCTAAAGGGCTAACAAACAACGGGTAAGCTGAGAGTAAGCTAAGAAAACTAGCATTGTAGCACAGTCGTTGCTTTTGCTGTTTGCTATCGCTTCTTGCTCTCCTTGCGTCCGCTGAGCGTGCGTGCGATCACGCCCACTGAACTGTGCATCAGCATGGCAAGAGCAGCGCATCGATCGTCTTGCCGCCATGCGAACGCCATGTGGATCTTCTGGCGGTAGCTAGCTAAAGCTGCATGGGGCCACATTGCTTAGTATAGGACTGTAGCTGGGTCTTTGGAAACTACGGTGTACTGCACTGTAGCAGGTGTGCTGTGCCGTAGTGGGTCTATGGCTTCCGCCGTAGTACGGCGTAGCAAGACCGTACTACGGTGCGGTAGTTGGAACTGTGTGTACTGTAGAGGTGGTCTTTATTGGAGTGTTCTTAATCAACTGTGCTTGTACACCATTGTTCTTGAGTGGACAGTTTAGGTGGGTCTGGGGGGACTAACTCTATCATCTGTAAATGACGAGTTTCTAGGCAGTCTATTGATACTTGTATGATGGCTAAGCATAAGATCAAGGAATTCCAGCTAGTCGAAACAACGTAGATATGATGTGATAGTGAGCGCTTCCTGCTGGGTGTATGGTGTATAGATAGAACATAAAAAGGCCATACGATCTCCCCATACTTTTGCTGTACAGTACGGCTCACACGGAACCTGGATGCGAATGCCGAGTACGCACGGCTGTTTCAACGCGCGCAGGAAGAAAAATTGGAAATGTGCGCGCGCCGCCCCCGGAACGCAATTGGACACGCCCCCTCGGTTTTGAAAAAGAACGGTACCTTCTGGAGACCGTTGGCCGTCCAGAGACCATACTATGCACTACCTAATGTGTTTACTATGTTGTTCTATCATCCATGACAACCGTTAGTTACTTGCGCAGCTGCTTTTGCAATACGTATACTACTGCGCAGCGGTCAAATGAACATTCCGCGGCAAAGACGCGCAAGAGTACCGGCGTAGTGGAAGCCATATCTCAGTTCAGGAAGCGCTTTCTATTGTATAATTGTAATACAATAGACCAGGTAAGAGTGGAAGTATTCAATAATATAGGGATCTAAATGATACTTATTTTTAGAGCCAGCTACAAAATAGAAGTGTCTGGCAATGGCAGATGTGCACCAACTCCACATTCTTTGTCGTGTATGTGGAGGAAGGCTGCAGAGAGCCAAGAAAAGGGCTCCTGTACACAAATGCACCAACAACACAGAAGGGCTAGAGGCTTCATTTGGCATTTCTGTTGGGACTGATGACCCTGATGTCCACCCGGAGTTGTTCTGCAACAGATGCTTTGCCGCCATGAAGAGGCAATCTACTGCTGCCTCAAAGGGGATACCATACCATCACTCCATTGATGCATTTTGCTGGATAAAACACACTGCGGGAGATTGCACAGTATGTGTAAAGTGGGCAATAGCGCAATGATATTAATAATTATATTACATAGGTATGTGAGCATGTGGATATCATCACAAAAGGAGGAGGACAAAACAAGCTATATAGCACGGAAGAATAGAGGTCGTCCTAGTGGTTGCAGCCCTTCAGCCACTATTGCACACATTCGATGTCTAGTGCACAACCAACCCTCCTATGTTGACTCCACAGACGAGGTAGAGTACCTACCAGAACATGTGGCGAACCTTCTCTGTCCCATCTGCTGTGACATCCTGAAGCAGCCCATCGAGCTTTCCTGTGGTAGCTTAGTTTGTGCCCACTGTTAGTTTGTGCCCACTGTTGCTGCAGGTGGATAGAACTCTCTCCCAAACCATCATGTCCTGGCTGCTACACACATGAACTAGACAACCTCACCATCGGTCTGCCTAGTGCTGTGGTGTATGAGCTTTTGGGAGCCCTCAAGTTGGTATACGGTACCTGCAAACAGAAGACCACAGCTGCTCAGTTGAAACAGCACAAAGCGAGTCAGTGCAAGGGCCATTATGAAGTTCCATCACCATCACAGATTAGTGCTCAGGAGATCCTCGCAAGGCCAGTAACTGCTCCAACTCAACCAGTGGAAAGGAGACTAGCAGAGCATCTAGTACGGCGGCTGATGACAGAGAGTGAAGATAAAGTTGTGAAAAATCCAACAAGAGGAAAGGTGAGAACTTGCGTCCATAGGCAGAGGTGTCTGTAACGAGTTATGCACTTCCTTTAGCCACTGAGTCTTCTCCCGGTTTCCACCGCAATCGTCTCCACTTCTGAGGCTAGTGCAGGACTGTCCAGCGTCGGTACGGCATGGTTTCAGGGCTGAGGGAACACACTGGAGTAGGGTTGGAGGAGGAGCTTAAAAGTCCTATCCAAGAGCGAACGACAACAACTCTTACAGGAGGCTGTCTTCCGATTGAATCCCGCAGACCACTCCCTAGCCATGTGAAGGCAAAACCTCTCCATCTCATGGAACAAACTGCGCACTCTGAGACGTAGGTTAAACTACAATAATAGTCGCTACCCTGGATGATGTAATACATAGATGGTTGAAGATGTCCATATATCGCTGGCCGTGAGAGAAAGCAGCGTTCTCTAGCCAATGAGACTGTAGGGGACAACATAGCAGCTGAGATGGTGCCCTTCACTTCCTGCTGAAGGAAGGGGAGAGAGGTACACGAAGCGCCTTTCGTCTATGTCCCAAACCTGATAGCTAGAGTCTCAGACACCTTGAACCAACACCTGCAGTAAGGATCAAGTTTTAAGTAAACTCCACCTTGATACTACGTGATAGGTCTGCAGTTTCTGGCAGTGGGCTAACATGCATGACAGCACAATACCTTCCTCTGAAGTCTGGATGTAGATCGGAGCTGATAAGGACCGAGGGAAGCTTCAAGCTGAACATGCACAGTGATCATGTCAGCAAACCAAACTCAACCCCTGCAACCACATCCCTCCTTGTGTCTCCAGCTGGAGAGAGCACCACAACCTGCACACTGCCCTGATCAGTACAGGGAAACACATCTCTTTGAGATCAGGGAATGATGAAAATCAGGGAAGAAATGGAGGTTCGTAATGCTAGTGTTAGAAATAATAAAATCACCATTCTAAACATACAGAGAGTGGGCAATACAGTCTCTCTTCACGGGGACTATGAGTTTTGTGTGTGATGTATGGACTTTCTGAGCATCGGTATGATCTGTCCGAAATCATACCAATATATATGAACGCTCTATCCATCCTAGGGCGACACTGTGTTTGTGGTGTACTAGTCGCAGCAATCAGCTCAAAGCCTCTAAGCACACGTGCGCATAGCACTTGCGCTCTCGTCAGAGCCTAAACAACCACTCTTACAGGAGGCTTGTCTCCGATTGAGATCCCCGCCCCGCAGACACGCAGAGGTTGGTTAGTGTATCAGGAGCATACCGTCAAACAGGCGAAGAGATTCAACAATGTGATTGGCGAGGTGTTTCTCTTTCCAATACCTCTGGAGAAGGTTCAGTCATACACCACTGTATTGGTATTAGCTCAATAACTCACTGTTAGGTCTGTATTCCTGGGCTCCACATGTCACTTGGCATCTTCAATCAGTCTGTTCAACCTGCTGGAGAGGGCATGCCAGGATCTTGACCTGGAGATGGCGCAAGGGCAGCTGGAGAAGGGATTGGAGGGCCAACATACCAACAGCATGTGAAGGCTCTGGGAGACTGGCTAGGGTGAGGAGCAGCAGGAATCAGCTCAGCAGAGGGCAACACTGTATGGCCAGTTGGCTACACCACTTTCTGCTCTCAATCCCAGGATCTGAGAGCAGCCCTTGTTCGTCAGATAGCGAAGCATCAACGCCAAGAAGAGAGCGGAAGAGCTAGTAATGGTCATAGCAATAGTATTCTGGATACCTCCATCCTTCACAGGCTGCTGAGGTACTGCACTGACGGGTGTTGGCGAACGGTTTTAAACACAAAGACCGTCCTGTTTCAAGTCCCTAGATACTGCATTAGCGAAGCTACATTGCAACGCCAGGCTTACCATGGGGGCACTTTCGTCGGGAAATCATGTGCATCAACTACTCAAGGTATACACACACACGCATATATAAATGGAATAAACCTAACACTATGTTCACCTTTAGGAAGAATCTGCTGATGTGTTGTGCTCTGTATTGTGGCCATAGCTGAAGTAGAAGTGCCTGAACTGTTTACAAAAGGCCAAGGACACATACAAGCGCTTTACTGAGGTACTTACCCAGTATGCCAGTGCCACAATGTGTTCAATGGAGGGGTGTTGTGGGCGACATCGCCATTGATCGACTTGGTAACAGAGAATTCGAATGGTAACAACTCTTTAAATTGCTATATTTCAGAGAGAGACATAGCAGCCTTCATGGAGCGGTACAGGGAGGAGTTTCCCACTGCAACAGTGCTCCCCAAGATGCACATCCTTGAAGACCACGTTGTGCCATGGATGCGGCGGTGGCACATGGGGGCAGGGCTAATGGGCGAGCAAGGGGCGGAGAGTATACATGCTCATATCTCAAAGCTGGAGACTCAGTACCAAGGGATCGTGAATCCACTGGAGAGACTTCGGTACATTGTGCAGGAGCACAACGTGGAGTCGACACCAGGGCTGAACAGCCTGTGCCCTGCACCACGGAAGAGAAAACGGCCAAGTGAAGAGGCCAACTAAACCAACTCCACTCTCTCTGTACCCTATAGTTTACTACAGGTCCCTTCCCAAGCATCACACACGTAATAAAAAACATGTCCCAATTGGGTGGCATCTACCGTGGCACAAAAAATAAGTATCATCATACCTACCACAGTTTTTGGAAAGTAGCTGGTAGTTCATTATGATGGCAGCTTCCTCGCTGGCCGAAGCACTTCTGGACTTGAAAAACACAGCTATGTACCAGCAAAAGTCTCGAGTTCATGATTGGGAACGTATCTCAGGTATAATTCATCGAACGGTCGTGATTTTTGGACCATCTCGTGGCTCTCACCGGAAGAGTCCGAGTTTCCCACTTGCGCATGTTCTATACGCACGCGCATACCTCAAAAGGCCGCTAGTAACGTAGCGGAAGTCGCACGCGGAAGCCCGTTGCCATGCGTAACAATGACGTTTTTATTTTTTGGGGGCGTATCTTAATATCTGTGCGCGCTCGAGCGCTCGATTAGTCGCGCTCGAGCCCTCTCCCTCGTGACTCGCATCCAGGTTCCGCTTGAGCCGTAATGTATGTCAACTCATTTGCATAAACCACAGTGGGTGTGTGGTAGTTAGATGATAGTAGGAAATTGGCAGCGTGGAATGCCATTGGAGGCTTTTACACACTTTGTGTGCTGCTGTTTCTCAATTTACCAGAAGCCTTCTGGCTGAAATGGCCAGAAAGTGCTCTAGTGTATGAAACTAGTGGAAGCTGCTTCCCAACGCGTACGCTCCCGTGGACTGGAACTGTATTCGGTGACTTTCAGCGTTCTTGCTACTACAACAGGCTGCATTCGAGAGCACTGGGTATAGCGGGAGAGATAGTGAGCTAGAGTGGCAGCTACAAAACCTTTGCGTGGGGTCTTACAGTGAAAAAGAATGGCTTTGAAGTACATACCCGTAATGTTAAACTCTCGAGAAATGACCGTGGCTTCTGCATAACCACCCAGCTGGACTAAACTAAAGCGCTTATTGCAGCCGTCTCTCTCCCGACCGATTTCTGTAGCTCTTTTCACGCACTTGAGGGTGTGCGTTAAAAAGAGGGCGTTTTGAAAGCTTTTGCACAGTCCCATTGGTCAGAGCCTTTTCGCCGGATGTCGTCATACGAACACGTTGTATGATGGCTTTGCTTGTGGTTTACTGGTTACACAGTCATGGCTTCAGTTTTGATAAACCACTCCAGCTGCGCTGTCATGCCCTATCATAACTAGCCAGTCGTGTACAACCAGTAGACCACGCACCACCATCGTATAACATATACATGGACATAATCGTTGACCTCCAAAATCGCATGTGTACATCTGTATAGCTACTCTGTAAATGCTGCATCCGATGCTAGATATACAGTAGGCCTATGTACACATATATTCATGTGCAGCTCAACGAAAAGATTGCCAGGAATTTAATAGCGTCTTTTTAATGCGCAAGCACGCGTAACTCCACGGGACAAAATAATGGCCTCCGGAATACTCACGTTCGTTTCACGCCAGTAGTTCAGGTAGATCTTTGTCAACTGTCGCCACAACGTTAAGTATTGGCGAGTGACCTTTGCTAGCTTTTTTTTACCTGTCAGCTACTCAAGCGCGCACAAAGCCAGCTGTTCGCATGCGTATGTACACCAGTGAACCCGGCGATGGAGCGATACACTGCCGACGAAGCGTTGACCATGATCACTGACAGCAGCGGCTTAGCAGACGACGGAGAGTCTGATATAGAGGAAGATCTACAAGATGATGAGCCGGAAGAAGAGCTCCATCCTGCAAGAGTACCGAGCCCCTCCCCCACTCCACTGAGCCACTCCCTCCCTTCTGCCAGCGCCGCTAGCAGCTCTTCCAGCTCCACCCCCAGCATGCAGCAAGCACATAGTGCAAGTAAACACTCAGCTCTAGCCCAGTGGGAACCAGTGAGTCCATCTGAGATGGAAGGGTTTTTGGGGATCGTCCTCAACATGAGTCTAGTAGATATGCCTGAAATCAAGGACTACTGGAGCACTACTGGATAACTCATGTCCCATTCTTTTCCCACATCATGCCTCAGAGAAGATTCATGAACATCTTCTGGCTTCTCCACGTCAGCTGCGAGAGGGACGGGATGCCACCCAGACGAATCGACAAGGTAAAATCCTTCCTTGATCCACTGCTCCACCAGTTCCAAACACACTCCTTCGTCTGTCCTTCCCGCAAGATCTCAGGTGATGAGACAATGGTTGGGCATCGTGGTAGATTCGGAGCCCTGCAGTATATCTCAAACAAGCCCGAGAAGTATGGGATCAAGGCATTTACACTAGCTGATAGTGCTAGCGGGTACATGCTCAACATCTTGGTGTACACCGGTGCCGACACACTTGAAGAGACAGATCCCAACTATACTACTCTACCTCAACCTGGACGGGTTGTGCTACATCTCCTTCAACCTTACCTAGACAAGGGCTACCATGTGTACACCGATAGGTACTACACGAGCATTCCTCTTGCAAATGCATTGGAACAGCGATTGACCTCCTTCACTGGTACTGCAGAACGCAACCGCGTCAATCTCACTGACGATATACATTACGTCTCGCGGACAACGAAGTCAAGGCATACAGAGCAGATCACTAGAGTGGAGAGCACCAACAAAGAAGAAAAGCCTAGTAATGCTTTCCACACAGAGCTCAGCACAAATGACTACAGTACGTGTGAGGTGGAATCAGCAGACGGTAGAGAAGCCTGTGGTAGTCAATGAATACAATCACTCAATGAATGAAAAGCACTGAAGTGCAAACCCTCGGCGCACTGTGATGCGCGCGCGTAAGTAAACGCATGCGCCGTACCACTAATTGATGGGCTGGGTTTAGTTTTTAGCTGTTACTCGTGGTCTCTTGCCAGCTCGCGCAGAGTCTGACGCGGGCTAACTACAATACTAGATAGCATGCGAGAGGCGATACACGCCCTGCGTTGCATCTTCTGGTGCCTCCGAGGTAAGCAAAGCACGCGGATCGATCATGCCGTAGTAAGCGGTTGTGTATTTGCATATTGGCTTTTCCCGCTCTAGCTTTGCAACAGAGCGTTTTCAGAGAAAACCGTTCGAAAATTCTGACCTCCATTGCCCGTTCAGTAGGTGGTATCCTTTGTGAGACGAACGAACACTCGAGAAGTGAGATGACGAGTAACAGACAGACAGACAGACACACAGACCCAAGTACCGTAACCCTCGCTGCGCATGCGCGCCGAGGGTTAATGAGGTAGATACAGCAGAGCAGAACAGTGTATACTATAGGTTCATCCGCAAGACACGCAAGTGGTGGAGAAAGTTTTTTTTTTTGGCTACTAAAAGTGACAGCAGTGAACAGTTATGTTCTCTACCAAGCGCATGACACACCTTCAATTCAGACGGAAGCTCATTGAGTCGTTGGCCTCACGTCACGTCCAGGCAGCTCCTGCTCATCCTCTTCCAGGCCGTCCACGAAAACGGCTGCATTCCTCGACAGGACAGGATCCAGAGCGTCTCAATGGACAGCTCCACCTGCTTGGGAAGAGAGAACTTATGCAGGAATGTGTCGTCTGCAGTGACCGCAGCAAGAAGAGACACCGCAGCAACTACTTCTGCAAGACTTGCTCCTCTTCTCCGACCTTGTGCCCAACAATTTGCTTCGAGAAGTACATGTCAAAACTACTAATAGACTATTACTTACATTTAGCAGTATGAACAGCAAGTTATACACACATGACAGGAATGGAATGCAGTGTTACATATGACAGCATAAAACAATATGTAACAACGCACCAATCCTGAGCTAAAAACGCTATTCAAGCAAAGCATAGACATTCTCCCCAGATTTCGAAGAAAATCTGAGCTGTATGTCCGTCTGCATGATGCACAACACACAAAGTAAACGCATTCAGCCACAATTCAGTTGGAGAGGCTTTACAACAGAATTGGGGCTGAAATGTGTTTATTTCTTTTGTTGTACTTCTTACAGATGACTGTAAAATATTGCTAAGCCCTTCTTGATCAACCGAATAACCATTACAGCCACAAAAACTACTGCTACAGACTTAGCGTGTGCGTGCGTTACTAACCTGCGATGTCATCCAGTTGTTAGTCCCACATCCAGCGCCATACGAGTGCAATACCGTGATTGTTTGGTCCCTCGAAGGTGTAGCTCTTACTTCCAGGGCAAGATAGTGCCGTCCGGTTCACTCTCGACCCACAGTCGGGCGCTCCAACACACCCGCGCAAAACACGACGCAATTTTATCTAAAAACTAGGAGCTGGGGCGTGTCCGTGCGTGCCCAATTCGCGGAGCGGAATGAGTTAATAATGAATTACTACTTGCCTTCTTGTCTGATGTCCTTTGCTGGATTCATTACTGCAACTTTGGGTGGCATGTTGTGCCTTCCGTTTGTATGTTTAACTTTGTATTGTGTAACCAGGTGATATCAGTCAGGGGAAGGACCAGAGAGACCATTTCTACTTCATTGCTAGGGACACTATAAATTGGAGGTACATACAACTCATTAACATGGCTGTTTTGTTGTGACAGAGTGAGTAAAAACCAAACTTGAGGTGCGATCGTTTTCGTCTCCGCGTGAGAACACGTTTGTTGCTGTGTGCGGTTGTGTTTGTCACTGCGAATGGACGTTTGTCTCCGCATATAGACACTCGTCACATGTGCGTATTTTACTGCGTGTGACACCACTATGCATGTCTCTCCCTGTAAAGTGGCACCACACCTTCTTTGGGACAGCCAAGACGGGTCAAGGCAGCTTTACTCGGGGATCCACTGGGAAAACACCATAGAGTCCAGCTCTGTGGTAAAATTTGATCTATCAGCAATGCCTGCGATCGATGTGAAGTCCTGCCTGCAGTGGCTTGTGCAGTGCAGTGCAGTGCAGTGCAGTGCAGTGCAGCTCTTTCGCGGGCCTAGCATCGTACTCACGAACCCTTCGCCCCCTGCCTAGTTTCTTCCCTGCGTCAGTCGCAGAGAAGCCTCTGGATGTCGTAGTAGTAGTAGTGTCAGTCTCAGGTGGTGCATCCTGCTGGGGATTTGAGTCTCTGCTCGACTGCATCACCTTCGCTTTTCCATCGTGACCATCACCGTGGTCTCGAAGGGTGAGGGCTAAAGGACAGTGCTCATCCCTTCCTCTACCTGTTCAAATCTCCAGTCCTCATGGTCCGCCATAAAGGAGCTTTGCCCTAGCGACAGGCGCTGAACGTTGAACATCTCTGGGGTCTGCCCCAGCTCTTGTCCTTGGTGATTTGGCGTGATCTTGAGGGTCTACCCCTTCCTTTGATGAGCGGGCATCTCAGGGCTCTGCTCCAGCCCTTGTTCTTGACTATCAGGTGTTATCTGTGGGCTCTGTGGGCTCTGCCCCTGCCCTCGGTACGCCACAAGGATGTCGGCCTGCGCTCCAAACAGGCTGGCACCAAGCAGAGGGCAGCTACATTGGAGAATGAGTATGCACTTCATCTTGAGACATCTCTGGTGTAAGATAGCAGCCATTATGTCTTCATGTGTGGGTGGATCAAAAGCGCCCGCCACACACTATCAAGGCGAAATAACCGCATTGTGGTCTATATCAACTTCGTATGCGTGTTATATCAACTTCCTGTGAGACAGTTTACACTACTAAAAGAAAAGGGAGGAAATACTAGTTGCTGTGGGTCCTGGATGACAATTGTTCAGCATGACTGCACCAGAAAAAGAGCGAGAAGCTCTGCTGGCGATACACTGGGCATACATGATGTTGCATATGTTTTGTACGGCAACTGCAGTCGTTCTGTACTGCAACAGCAGGAGTAGCAGTCTCTGTCGAGTGCTACCTGACAAATTTTGCATGCAGTTGCCTGCTGTTCCTCTGAGATTCTTTCATACTTGCGAAGGCCATCAATAGACCTGTGCCCACTGCGGTCTTGGGTGACTTTTCAGGCACTCCTGCTTTGCCCGAAGGGAATCATTGTTCTCTTCCCCGAGATTGAGGCTTGTTTGCACATTGTCTTACCATTTTGCTTAGAGTGTTTGCCAATAGCTACTGAAGTGAAGCAAGGTGTAGAAAGACTAACTGGAACCTTAGCCACTAGACGTAAGTAAAAAATATGAGAACGCTCACCATATCTTCATCTTTGAACTGACGGACGAGGAGATCGGGCTGACCAACACCGCCCCTTTGATCTTCGAAACATTCTCTGTGTAAGTGTAACACACTCTTCCTTCAGGGGATGTACTATTTTTACCTGAGACAACTCAGCTGCCTGTGTTCTGTCCTCCACGAAGCAAGAAATTTCCGGCCATTGTAGAAGAACACTGCGTTCAACAGGCCTTGAGGGCTGGAAGAGACAAAACACCTGATGGCCATAGTTGGTCATTTCAGCATCAGGCAGCATTAGTGTGGCGTAGAAGTTGCTCCTACCCCCTCTCCCTGAGCTCACATACAAACGTCACAGGTTGTCATCAGCTGCTAAAAGCAGGGTACTCAGGAGAAAAGATATCGAACGGCAATTCTTCTTCTTCTCTTCCTATGGCGATGAAGGCCACACAATAGCAGGTGAGTGTTGAGGTTCACCTGTCTTCTTCCTATTGATATAATAAACTTTTGCAGCCAAAACGAGAGGAATTTCGGATCGTCAACTAGTAGTATGCCTGCAGTGAGGGAGAACAGGAGAAGGCCAGAGGGACTAGCGCACGGATGCAGTTATGGCGGAGAAGAAGAGAGACGAAAAACTGTTTGAAAACTGGTTTACGTCGAGACAAAGAAGAATTTTTGCGCCATTATCCGTAGCAATGCGGTATGACGACAAATTACTTATGTCATGTCTGTAGTTTGGTACGTTTCCGGAATAAATGACGAGTCCCGAGGGCCGAGTGATTATTCCGGCACGTACCTCACGGACGTGACATAACTATACATGCAACACAGATTCTGAGCTTGTAAATGGCTGAAGAGGGCAGGTTGTGAGGACCTTTTACATAGCACCATTTGTGCACCAAAACATACACCCAACTCCTGAACTTCCGGAGCTTCAGCATGATATCTAGGTGAACCCCTTGGTAACCAAGAAGCTGTCTGAGTTTGGGCCAATACCACGTTGATATGGAGACCAAGCCTTATGTATATAATTTTGGCAGTCATTGTAGCGCTTCCAGAGATATTGTAGGCTAGTTCAGGGACCAACTCTTTAAAGCTGTCATGGGTGAGGCAGGAGCGCGCGGAATCGACGTGCTCTGCTTCTGGCGGCCTTCTACGAGAAAAGCGTGGAGGGGACATCACAAACCAGTGGGTTCTCCACGAGGGTCGTAAGTCATTGTTAGGTATTATACGATCCATTCCCGCTCAGTGGCGATGTTGCAGTGGGTGTTCCCATATACTTGAATGCCTGGGTTGGGCTGGCCTGGTGTTCTTCGAGCACTCTGGCGAGAGGGCCAACTGCGTCCAGGATTCGGATGCGCTGATCGTCCATCCATCCCTTTTTCGGGGCAGGGCATGGAGAGTGTGTCCAGTTTGAGACATTTCGTCACGTTCATCGCTGTCATCCCTTGTGAAGGCGGGTTGTGTTAGAGACTGGTTTTTTGGTAAAGGCCTCGGTGAGGTGGACTTCGCAGTAGAACCAGGTGCAGTGGACAGACATCATTTGCATCGTCATTCTAGGGGCTCCACCGTTTTGGAGGCGTAGTCCCCCCTTTGTGTGGTTTACAGCACCACAGTATTGTTGCTTGTAGTGCGCAATGTCTCCGCCTCGTCTTCTTCATGTACCATTTAATGTGTATCAAATAGAGCTCATGTATTCTGTGTATCACGTTCGTCTGTCACAGGACTAAACATGTACACTAAACAGTGGTATGCACTGCTTACAGTAAGTACCAGTCAGAAAAACGACACTGTTTTTTGTAGATACGACAAGACTACACGTGTAGTTCCCACACCTTGCCTTACACTACATTACGATTGTTGTAGTGTAATCCCTGTGTAACTGATATTGGTCGTAGCTACACTGATGCTACGATGTAACTACACTAATACTACAAAGTGGTACACTGTTACCATGACTACAATGATTGTGGGTAGATGAGTGCTACACTGCTATTACTACAATGTGGTTTAGCAGTGCAAACAGTGTAGACGTCATAAGATCAGAGTATACAAACCCAGGTGCTGCACTTTGACTGCCAGATGATTGACAGCCACAGGGCTCAAGTGAGCCCAACATTAGTGGAACATTAGTGGAAACTTTAGATGTAAGTACACGTACCTCTCTGCCACCGTTTTGTAGCGTTTAGCTGCTCTACATAAGTAAAAGTTATTATGCTTAATAACCGGCAGGGATCGTTAATGATGGTGCTCTCTACCTATGAATAGCAGCGTATTTTGTTTTCCACGAGTCTTGACTTTCACATCACAATATTATGAGCTCTAATGGCCGAGAACATTGTTACTAGCACGGCAAACTATAGCACGTTTCATTAAAAGGTTTTCGGCAACAGGTGCAATATTTCGCAAGGAAGGCTCGGGAAGACCTTCGAAAATAACCAATCGAGTACTGCAACTTGTAGAGCGAAGAACAGATAAAGGAGAACTAAGAATGACAGAAGAATAAGACAAAGAAAGAGAAGAAGAAGATAGAAAAAAAGAATGAGAGAGGCGACGAGATTACGCTGTTCAACCATATTGCACTGTGGCCGCATATCATAAGGTTATCTACCTCACGCCATTCATCTCTCGGATGGACCTATGGGGGCGTTCAAATACTGTCAATTAATAGGAGTCAGAACAAACAAACGACCTTCAATGGGTCATACGAAATTACATAGAGCTCTTAATAATGCTGGAGGATGTATTGGGGAACCGAGAGACTACTGTTAAACTGGAGAGCCACAGGAGGCACCCCTACAGGACAAAGGGGTGAACAAGCACGGAACCTCATCCCAAGCATATTAACTCGTTCGCACGGAAATAAAGGCCAGGTAACCGCCTCTTGACCTTGCGATGTTTCCGAGCCTACTGTTAGGGGTGACCTTTTTTTGTGTCCGCAGGGCGGTGGGTTCTCTGCACAGTGTGCAGCTAGATCGGTAGCAGTCTCGCTCGGTGGTCCCGTCGGTCATCTTCGCTTGTTATACGCACGCCCCGACGTTACCACTGGTGGTGACTGCACTGAACCGCTCTCCAACAAACGCAGGGTGATAGACCCGTGGGTACGCTTATAAAAAAACTTCGAGCTCCCATGGCGTCGATCCCCAAAATAGGTGACCTGCCACCCGCTTTGGTGACAGAAACTCAGTTGGTGACTGACCGCTCCGTGTAGCGCCGACGAGTAAATGCTCTCTCCCAGGCGTCATTAGTATCATTATTATAATACGCAAGCGTAAATTAACTATTGTGATAGCTACGCGTAGTAGCATGTACCTACACTTACAAAAACATTGCGGCTACATGTGTAGATCAGAGTTATATTGCAATTACAACTACATTACGTATTTAGTAAGTCGTAGTGTGTAAAAGAAAACAACCT